AAAAAGCTCTGTGAAAACAAAGTCCAAGACGATACGCCGATTTCTATGTTCATTCCCGCCAAAAGTGGTCTGGGTGCATGCTCTCTCACTCTTGTCAAGTTTTTAGTCGACAAACATAATGAATTCCTGGAGGTTTATCGACAACACGCGCAAATCAAGTAAGAATAGAGAATTATCACATGACTGAGGTCATGGTTGTATCCATTATATGTCGAACCCGAGAACTCACABTTGATTTAGACACTAAACAGCCGTAGTTCGTAGCCACGGGATTTAAAATGGTTGTGGATTACACTAAATTGCCCTACCGGTGGTTTTACCTAAACAAGATGGTTATTTTCGTGAATTTTGGGAAAATTCATGAAAATATGTCAAATGAATGCCGAATAAACCTGTATTGTATTAACCACATTCATTGCCAATGGAAATGTGATGATAATTTGAAACACAACGTGGCATGGAAGTATAATTTGTATTGAATTTGGTACATGTGAAATTCGACGTTTGACCCAGACCAAATGACGAGAATAATGATGACGGGGGAGGAAAACATAAATRAACGAATTTAATTACATTTGCCTTTCTTCATTGGGCGAATACACTAAACGTCTCATTAACGCTTACAATTTCACTTTTCTCCACAARCGTTTACTCAATATCTAGTTTCAGTCCCTCSGGTGTGGAACGCCTGTTACAATTAATCATAGTKTATGGTAATTAACTCAACAAGTATTAACCAGTTAAACCTGTTTTCTTCAGGGACATACAGCACGTGGGCCTATTGGAGGTTACATGTTCACAGCTTATCTCATACGACGCTGATCGAGATCTCATTCCTCTTGTACATGCGCACTGTCACTACTCCCTTGAACCTGGCCAGGGTACGTCAGTTGAATATGATTGGTCAGCTGTGCAGCGTCATTTGATTGACAGGCTGATACGGGGAAGAAGTATCGTTGACTTTAAGGTGAGCAGTTCTGTATATTAACTACTTTGTGTTCAAGAATAATAAATATGCTCATCTTGCATTCAACTGAAACTGAAACTGTTTTATTGCTCTTTTTTGCTTTTAACTTAACAGAAAAAAGGTGCTTGTAATAAAAAGATAAATAAGCTCCACTTTTAAATAGGTTAGAACTGTAATTGTTCACATTAAAGGAGCAAATCCATCTTTTAGTTGCCGATGAACGATTAAATTATACAAKTCAAAATCATATCCAAGTGAATCTAAAGCTTCTAGTAAAATTGCTATTAACAGGACGAGGAATACACCAAGACCGCTGTCATCAACGCCCAGTCAGTCTTGAAGAGTCTTAAAGCTAAAATACATCAGGTAGATTGGATTTTTGAGATGTTTAGTCAATCAATTCACTTAAATCAAATCGATGAGTCTTGTGCACTTTCCTTTTCTATCTAGGTGGAGTTAACATTAGCAATACAGCACCAGATTGTTCAACAGTATCGCTCACTACAAGATGTCTGCGAAGCTGTGTCATCACTCCACATTGCAATCACGTTCCTTTCGTCTGGTGGTGGAAGTAGTGACATGCCTATTAGTAGATATCTGCACGATGTACTCAAAATGCCTGCAGACGCAGGCTTACGTAACAACAAGGTGAGTTCCACCCAAACTTAAACATGTGAAGAAAAAAAGACCTCTGAATAGACCATCTCCGAGATATGAGAGCGCTTTTCATTTTTCGGGCAAAACTAAAAAGAGCGTTTGCGATATTTTTGAATGCGCCTGCGCAACTCGGAGATCGTCCATTGTCATGACAGATCACTCGATAAATTGAAGTCGAGGTTGGAGAAGACATATCTAAAAATGTACTGTATGGTGTCCACCATGGCCTCGACTTAAAACTATTACTTCGTAATCAGTAGTGCGAAGATTGGAGTTGCATAAGTGTGTTACGATGTAAGAGCCTGAAACTTTTACGTTCACACTGTGAAGCACCCTTCACACAAAAACCATTTCAGACTGACATTTCAGGGTATGTTCTGATTTTCCAAATATTAAGTAAATCCAAGTTGAACACCATTTATACAAGAACCTGTTCAGGCTGAATTGAAGAAATTTAGGTTCTTATATGGGGAGTTTTACTGTATGCTAAGTACTTGAGAGATCTTTTACCCGTTATTTCTATTTAAGACTAACGGCTGTATTCTCCATTTGATCGCATTTTAAATCCTAAAAATCTACCAACCTATCAAGAAATCCACTTATATTAGAAATACAAATCAAGAAATCCACTTATATTAGAAATACAAATGTTTTTTTAAGGCCAATGAAGTGTGTCAACTACAACACTCGGTTTCCCTGTGGCGGATATTATCGATCGAGAGAGCCAAGCGTTTGACTCGAAGTGGAAAGGTATGAACACTTACAAGCGTTTTCAAGGTTTATGGATGTCCGTTTGATACAAATAAGTGATAATAAATGCGCTTCTCGCAAGATAATTTTACACGAAACATTCAATGTCAAACACCGAAGGGACCTGGTTAGAAGTCCGAAAATTAAAAATCCAAAAAAAATCTAAAAACAAGGCGACGTGCTACTGTCGAGGCACCTTAACATGATAAGCTGTCTTCTATTCAAACAGGATCCATTTGAACATCTTCCTGATGACTACAAGGAATCAGTTTCGGAGGCAATGCAGATGTCAGTCCGTGAGACTCTTAGGAAACTAAGTGACGCCAACCTTGACGTATTGGTCTCAATTTTGATAGAAATCATTATACTTCAGTTGAACGACGATTTTGAGACCGATATGAATTACAGGTACGTTGTAGATAAGAATCTGTTTTGGCCATGGTGATTTTAGTAATGACTAAGGTTGTCCGAAAGCTTACATGCGTACTACCCATATGCCCATTCGGGTGCGAGCTGTCTACATCCATAAACAATAAGGTCATAAACGAAAACAATAATTGCGTCGTAAATGTCCTTCACAAAAGCGTGGAAGGGCAACAAGAGCTATTGAGAATGGCCTTGAAACTTAGTTGCCAGTAATTATGATGTAGGATTGGAGCGTAATGGCTTTTCCCAAGATTGGTTCTGCACTAGAAGCAAAGCGAGGTTTTGGCTAGGTCACAACATTTTCCCGTGATGTAGAAAATTGTTCAACGGTACTACCAATAACGTTACGCTTTGATAATCATATTTTGGCTGCAAAATGTTTCCTACAAATGCACATGTTTTCACTTAGTGTCTATTTCTTTCGAATACTTAATTTAGGCACTGCATCCACAGTTTTCGTAACTGCATCCACAGTTTTCATTTTTTGGTATTTTATGAAAAGTTCTCTTGAGTCCTTCGACGATAATTCCTGAATGGGCATGACAAAGTCGAATACAACTCTTCCCTTTGATTTTTTGCTTGTTCAGCAACTTTCTTCATCCATTATGAACACGTGGACATGTTAYGACCTAGCCAAAGCCTCGCTTTGGTTCTGCAGAATTCCAACATTTTGACTGAGAAAAGGTCATTGATGATGTCATTGATTGCGTAATATTTGAGACTACTTAAAGTGCTTAGTACAAAATTAAGAGAAATATAAATTATTCTTTTCAGCCTGAAGGAGTATATCGCATACAATCCTCTTCATGAAGACAGTGAAATACCGACTGAAGTTGACAGTATACCGGAAACAGTTAAACTTCGACATGTCTTTGGATTTTGGCAGATTTTGATCAGTCTTAAAGACAGAAGTAGCCATGAAAGAAGAGTCCAACCAACAGGCTAGATCTATTAAAAAACAATACCTGTTACGCTATTGTTTTATTCAATTGATTTTATTGACATTTAGTCCGAAAACTAAAATCGTAGTCAGTATTTGAAAATTAGGTAACAGTTAATTTGCATTTTTTTTCTTTTTGAAATATCGCTTTACGAAGAGAATCCACTTCATGTTTTGGTTTTCATCATCTTGATCTTTCGACAAATGGACTGTATAATGTATAGTATAACATTAGCAATCGGGAATATATGATTTGAAAGTGGTTTTAAACCAAGAAACTTGATACTTTTAAAAATATACACAAAAAAATTGAAAGCACTATTAATGCTAACAACAGTTGGCAAAATTCCACTTCTGAAAAATAGTTATTTTTGCGTTATAGTTGAGTATAGAGTATAGCAATATGTACAATATAATGAAAAAAGTAGTTCAAACAAAATAGACTATATTTAGGTGTTATTTGTTACGCTGTTAGAAATGTTGATTATGTTGTTTTAACTCTTTAAATAAGAATATTAAAAGAGGAATCTGTTATTTTATGGGCTGCCGGCCATTTAGGATTTCGTTGTTGCGTGGCCGGCAGTTGGAGGTTCAAGTTCGCACAATGTCTCTAAAGGCCCGTTTACACTTCCAATTTTTGCTTGCAATTTTTGCAGCGCGATTGTCGCGCGACAATCGCCTTAGTTTCGAACATGCTTGAAATTTAGCTGCAACTCGTGGCGATCAAAAATCGCAGGGCTGTTTACACGTACGATTTGAGGTGCGAGAGAACAAAGTGGCGATTGTCGCGCGACAATCCCGCTGCAAAAATTGCAAGTGTAAACGGGCCTTAAGTGCAACGAATTTCGGCGCGACGTTTCATCATCATCATCATTCGCCTGCAGCGCAGGCGACCACAATCCCTCTCCACTGCACACGGTTTTGCGCCATGACAGCAATCTGGTCAGGCCGAAGAGAGCCATCGCCGTCCCCCAGCCGCTATTGAATGTATTTAAGGTATGACATTCGAGGTCGGCCTGGTCTCCTCTTTCTGTGTGGTGGGATGTATAGAGCATAGCACTTGGCGGGTTCCTTGTCGGGGAGTCGCAGGATATGACCCAAAAATTTCAGCTGACGGATTATAATTTGCTGAATCAATGGTTTTGTTTCAGTCCTGGCGTGTATCTCTGTGTTTGGGATTCGGTCCGTTCGTTTGACTCCGAGCATAACTCTTAAGCAGGATGTTGCGAAGGAGTTGATTTTGTCCTCCATGGCTTTTGTTATTACCCAGGATTCACACCCATAGAGGAGGACTGTGATGCATGTTGTGTTGAACAACTTCACTTTGATCTTGATAGGCAGTTTGTTGCTCCTCCAGAGATGCTCTAGACTCCAGAACGCGCTCCATGCTAGCCCCAAACGTCTTTTTAAATCGTTTGAGCTAGATGCCATCATTGAGCCCAGGTACTTGAAATCTTGTACATGTCTGATTGGTTCACCATACACTTTTAGAGGTGGATGCTGGTCACAGTTGAAGGTCATGTATTCTGTTTTCGGGACGCTTATGATGAGACCTAGTTCTTTTGCTGCTGCT